CGCCCCCGCCCAGTCCGGAGCAGCCGACGCTCAGGGTTGGGGACCACCGCCCCCGGAGCTGCTGGGGCCCGCCCGCTTCGCCCTGGAGATGTACAACCGCGGCCGGGCTGCGGGGACGCGGGCTGTGCTGGGGGCCGTACGCGGTCGCGTCCGCCGGGTGAGGACTCTCCGAGTTAGGACAGGCCAGGCCTGCTGACCTGAGGGGTGGGAACCTTGGTCTAGGCTTGGGATTGGGGCCAGGATCGCGGAGAGACGGAACTGGGAGGGCGGCATGGGTGAGTGAGTCTGTGGGCTCGGTGAGGGACTGGTGAGGAGGGAGAGGCTACACCAGTTTCACTCGCCCCTCCATCCAGGCGGGCCATGGGTCTCTGTATTCCCTGGAGGCGACCCTGGAGGAGCCGCCCTGCAACGACCCCACCGTGTGCCAGCTCCCTGTGTCGAGGAAAACCCTGGTGAGTGATGGGGCTCCTGCAGTTTACTGCCCCACACTCAAGTGGGGTAGCAGTTGGGATGATGGGTCACGTCAAGAGGCAGGGACCAGAGGCAGCAGCTACTTTACCTTGAGTCACTTCCCAGGCCCCCAGGGCCTGTTCTGAAAGGGAGAGTGGCCAAGTGTTGGCTCTGTTTCACTCTCCATTGTGAGGGTGGTTGTCTTGGAAGTGGTCTTCATTCCAGGAACCTCTAGCTCCGTCTTGTCCAGACCTTGCTCCAATGCCAGCCCCTAGACTGGCTTTTCCCTCTTCCTGCAGCTCTGCAGCTTCGAAGTCCTGGATGAGCTAGGAAAACACATGCTGCTGAGGCGGGACTGTGGCCCAGTGGTTACCAAGGTTACAGGTGCTGGGATAGCCCAAGGGTGTTGGTATGGCCCAGACCAGACTTCACTCAGGGTTCAGCCTTGATTTTCTCCCTGTTCCAACCCTATCCAGATGACGGAAATGAAGCTTTAAATTCAGGCCTTCCGCTATTGACCAAGGATCCACTGTCCCAGGTGAGTAGTCCGTATTTGAGGAGCCAGTGGTTAACCTTATCCTCTTTTCCCTTCACCCTGGAGTGGGACTTCCTGATCAGGCTGAACTCCTTATAAAAATCCTTCTGCATTTCTAGGACTTTTCTGTGAAGATGGCCTCAATCTTCAAGAACTTTGTCACTACCTATAATCGGACATATCAGACTAAGGAAGGTCAGGACTCAGCCTTGGCTATACCTGTCCCAATCAGTTAAGGGCCTTTCCCCGAACTTAGCACCTTGCTGTTGGGAAGAGGAAGGACACAAGAGGCAGTGCATCCTTTCAAGGACCTCTAAGTTCCTGAATTCTTGCCCAGCCTTCCAGCCATCCCCAAATACCTGGCCTCTTCTCCTACCTTATCTTTCTGGTCAGAAACCAGGGGCCTCCATCACTCTGGGGAAGGTGGGATGGGAGAGAGGCCTGATGTTCTCTTTTGGAGGCCCCCTGACACCATGGTCTTTCTCTCACCTCTCATGGGTGATGCCCTTTAGACCCTGTTTTGGTAACTGATTTCACACTTGTGAAGTCAACATTCTTTGCCTCCCAAAGTTGGTCATACCTCCCACTCTGTCACTTGCTGGTCTGGCCCGCTACTCCTACCTGTCCTGGGGTTCTGTCCTTAAAAAGAGCTTCAGGTCTAACCCAGAGCCCACTTGCTGTCCTGTTTGTTAGCCTGACTGCCCCTTCTTTTATGATCTGTCTGGGTCTGAGCCCTTCCTCTCCTGCTCCTTGATCCTCAGAAGCCCAGTGGCGCCTGTCTGTTTTTGCCAGTAACATGGTGAGAGCTCAGAAGATCCAAGCCCTGGACCATGGCACAGCTCAGTATGGGGTCACCAAGTTCAGTGACCTCACAGGTAGGAGTGGTGACCAGAGCTTTCATGGAGCCTAGAAGAGATAGGACCTGCTCCCGTTGCCCCTGGTCAGGGTTGTCTTGGCATACTCTTCCTCCCTATGCCCTACCATCTTTGTCTACAGAGGAGGAATTCCGCACCATCTACCTGAATCCCCTGCTAAGAGAGGTGCCTGGCAAGAAGATGCACCTAGCCAAGTCCATAGGAGACCCTGCCCCACCTGAATGGGACTGGAGGAAAAATGGGGCTGTCACCAAAGTCAAGGACCAGGTTAGACACTTAAGTGATGAGAGTGGGACCTGAGTATGGCATGGGGCTGGGGAGGGATCCAGCCTTGACTCTGCCTATTTCTTGCAGGGCATGTGTGGCTCCTGCTGGGCCTTCTCAGTCACAGGCAATGTGGAAGGCCAGTGGTTTCTGAACCGGGGAACCCTGCTCTCCCTGTCTGAGCAGGGTGAGCATCCTGCTCCAGCCCCTCGTCCCCAGACCAGCCTCTCTGGAGGGCTCCTCTGGACTGGCCTTCTGTATCCTAGAGCTCTTGGACTGTGACAAGATGGACAAGGCCTGCATGGGTGGCTTGCCCTCCAACGCCTACTCAGCCATAAAGAATTTGGGTATGCACTGATGGGCTCAGGAGGGGTAGCAAAGCCACTTCTTTTCTTGCAAGAAGTCATTTCATAAGGGGGAGAGACATGAGTCACACAGAACTGAGAATCACATAGAACTAGGCTCAAGTCATCTTCTTTTTAAAATTTTTAAAAAAATTATTATTCTATTTTTTTTTTTATTTTTTAAAGTTTGCTATAGGGCATATATGCACATGAGGGAGAGAGAGAACAAGCCACCAGGTCCAAGACTCGAACCACAGTTGTCCATATGGGACTCCAGTGCCATAACCACCATATCACCTGCTGGTCTCACTAGGTTCAGGTCTTAACACTGACTCTTATTGACTGAAGACTTTGGGCAAGTCAGCACGCTCAGAATCTTGTTGCCTCATCTGTGAAATGAGACCCATGCCCACCCTGTAGGATTGTTAAAAATATCAAGCAGGGAAATATATGTAAGATGTATTTTATACACACACACACACACACACACACACACACACACACACTGCTCTGCAGGGGGTCTTGGTATTTTTGCTTCTTGGAGATTTGTATATCTATAATGCTGCTAACCTAGGTAGCAACACACCTCACCCGTGAGGGGAGGTTTGACCTAAACTGGCAGTTCATTGCAGTGATGGGCTGCAGTGGCAGATGGATGAGGGACTCAGGTGGCTTCGTAGAGACTGCCCTTGGAACCTGATGGGGTTGGGCTGGATTAGGAGTGGACTGTCCCAGCAGGACAAGTCAAACAAGGTCAGGAGTCCAGGAATGCAGCAAAACTCATCTCTTCCACTTTTCTTGCTGATGATTGCTCCCCTCTCTTCCTTGCCTCCCCTAACCCTAGTTGTGTCACTTCTAATGAGAGCCATGGTCTGTGACCTGGGATGGATGAGGACTGTGAGACTTTGTAACCGACTTAGCACGCTTCTCCCAGGTGGGAGCAGGCAAGTGTGTGGTAAACAGAAGTCTGCCCTTTTTCTGTCTTCTAATCCCCACTCCAGGAGGGCTGGAGACAGAGGATGACTACAGCTACCAGGGCCACATGCAGGCCTGCAACTTCTCCGCAGAGAAGGCTAAGGTCTACATCAATGACTCAGTGGAACTGAGCCAAAATGAGCAAAGTGAGTGAGGGGTGGGTTGAGGCAGGCCAAGTGGGAGCTGGGGCCCAGGTGCCCACTGATGCTGCCCCTCCCCATCTCAGAGCTGGCAGCCTGGCTGGCCAAGAAGGGCCCAATTTCTGTTGCCATCAATGCCTTTGGCATGCAGGTAAGGCCTTGCCCCTTGCCTTTCTCCCCTAGCTCATTGACTCTTCTTCACCCTCTCCTAGAAGTTGATCCCCCTACTCCTTATTTTTCCCCCAGTTCTACCGCCATGGGATCGCTCACCCACTCCGGCCCCTCTGTAGCCCTTGGCTCATTGACCATGCCGTGCTGATTGTGGGCTATGGCAACCGTGAGTTCTACTGCCTGTCTGTCTGTCCATTAACACAGGTCACGGGTTGGACCATAGTGTCTTAGGACCTCTAGAAAGGGAAATCGGGAATGCATAGGAACCCTGTTCCTACTACCTGCCTCCCATGGGCAGGAAAGCTCAGGTGGTGGGAAGTTATGGACATGTAATGTGCTTAACGTGGGGCTAGGGATCCCCCTCCATCCCTCCCATGTCCCAGAACTAGTCAGGTCTTTACGAGGATAGTAGGTAGGTACCTCTTGCTTTCTGCTCTTTTTTTTTTTTTTTTTGAGAGGTTTTTGCTATAGGGCACGTGCGCTCTCCAGACAGACAGAGAGAGACATAGAGACAGAAAGCGAGAAATCACCCCCCGGGGGGGGTGGTCACGCCGCAATCCCTTCTCCTCCATTCTCCTCTTGGGATCTTGTGTAGCCCTTGGCTCATTGACCATGCCGTGCTGATTGTGGGCTATGGCAACCGTGAGTTCTACTGCCTGTCTGTCTGTCCATTAACACAGGTCACGGGTTGGACCATAGTGTCTTAGGACCTCTAGAAAGGGAAATCGGGAATGCATAGGAACCCTGTTCCTACTACCTGCCTCCCATGGGCAGGAAAGCTCAGGTGGTGGGAAGTTATGGACATGTAATGTGCTTAACGTGGGGCTAGGGATCCCCCTCCATCCCTCCCATGTCCCAGAACTAGTCAGGTCTTTACGAGGATAGTAGGTAGGTACCTCTTGCTTTCTGCTCTTTTTTTTTTTTTTTTGAGAGGTTTTTGCTATAGGGCACGTGCGCTCTCCAGACAGACAGAGAGAGACATAGAGACAGAAAGCGAGAAATCACCCCCCGGGGGGGGTGGTCACGCCGCAATCCCTTCTCCTCCATTCTCCTCTTGGGATCTTGGGCACGCACGCACACGTGCCTGGCATGAGTTTTAAGCCACTGGGTCTGGGATGCGAACCGCAGTTGACTACGTGGGAGTCCAGCGACATAGCCATTATGCTAACTGCTGGTTCCCTGCTCTTTTTTTTAGCACCTGTCACACAAGTACCTAGCATCTACCCACTGAAGATGTTTGAAGGGTGCAAAGTGCTTGAAGCTCTGACTTGAGAATTGGGGGCTTCTGACTCCTTGTGCCCTGTATTGCTTCCTAGGCTCTGAGGTTCCTTTCTGGGCCATCAAGAACAGCTGGGGCACTGACTGGGGTGAGAAGGTGAGTCTTGCCTGCTTGGCCTTTGGCCCTTTAGCCCCTGTCCTGCCCTAGTGCCCTCACCAAGCCTTGTCTCCCCAGGGTTACTACTATTTGCATCGTGGGTCCGGGTCCTGTGGGGTGAACACTATGGCCAGCTCGGCGGTGGTGAACTGAGGAACCCACCAGTTCAGGACCTGGTGCTAACCAGAGCAGCCCCTTCCCCAGCCTGACCTGCATGCCCAGGCCCTCCCCAGGTGGCACAGCTGGCTGCGGGATGGGCACTGGGCTAGGGGCACAGCCCTGTTCTTCCCCCTCACTCCCATCCTGAAGTTCCCCAACCGCACCTTTGCTGAATTGTGGTAGCTAGGAGGATCTCAGGGTGATGGATGACGTCTTGGCAGCTGGAGCCAGGGCAAGAACTCTGGGCTTGGGTAAGGAACAAGAAAATATTCTGATCTTAAACCCAACTGTATCTTCAGGAGGTTCTGGCTTCTCATCCTGGCTTTCCTCTGTCTGATGCTATAAATTTTCTGGTCCCCCTGGATTGGAGATAGTGTCCCCTTCCATATCCAGGCAACTTATAACCACCCTTTTCTAACAGCAATAAAGAGGTGTCCTGGTCCCCAGTGTGGTGTGAGTGCTCAGTCTCTGAGGGCAAGGAGGGATGGTCAGTGTGGGAGAGTCAGTCTGCCCGGGAGTTTGAGGGTTCAGCTTCTGCTTCAGGAATCAAGAGAACACAGGAGAGGCCCACAGATGGATCTTTATTTAGAAACACTTGGGTGGCTGTTCACTGAAGGCCCTGCTCTTAAGACATGGATGGGATCAGCCACAGGGAGTACTCTTTCTTGGTCTTGCTAGAGAACCTCAGGCATCAAGGTCAGAGGTCACTCTCTCCATAGAGGGCACTGGAGAAGGCCACGTAGTCCAGGGCTCCAGCGGGAGCCCCAGAGCCCTTGTAGTGTGTCATCCGGCGGATGCAGTATTCAGCCTGCTCGGCGGGCAGCTCCCGCCGCAGCTCCTCAGCAGTGATGTAGTTCTAGGGAAGAAATGGCCTTGAGGCCCACCTGTCCTATGCCCTGCCCTGGCCTGCCAACCACCTCCATTGTCCCAGGCTCACCTTGTCTCCTGCCAGGATCTTAAAGGAGGCCACAACCTGCTCAGCTGTGTCAGTTTCAGCTGTTTCTCGGGTCATGAAGTCGATGAAGGCCTGGAAGGTCACGACCCCGGTGGCATTGGGGTCTACCATGGTCATGATGCGAGCAAATTCTACTTCTCCCTGCAGAGATAGAGGCCAGGCCCTATGCTCATGGGTACTAAAGCCAGGAGGGCTCCTGATGTCCCCTCCTAGGGACTCCAGCTTGGCTTGCACAACTTCAGTGACAGGGTACTCCATTCCCCCTGTTGGGTGTAGGTCCTGACTTGCCCTGGCGCCATACCCCTCTCTCTAGTGCTGTTTCTCTGAGGTAAAGCTCAGATTTTGGTGTCAGAGAATGAGGTAATTTATCTCTTGGAGCCTTTGCTATCCCTGTGTGGATGTGATAAGGAATAAAGGAGATGATGAACATGAAGGTGGAAGGTCCACAGTAGCTGACAGTGTGATGGAGAGGCCATGGACAGGACTCCTGGGCGGGGCTGGAGGGCACTCACCAGGTCGTAGCCCATGGAGATGAGGCAAGCTCGGAAATCGTCAGGCTCCATCATCCCATTCCGCTTCTGCAGGGAGTGACTAGGTGTCAGGCTAAGTCCCCAAACCCACCAGCCTCCAAGTCTCACACCACAGGGTGGGCCTGCTGACCCGGTCAAAGTGGTTGAAGGATGCTCGGAATTCGTTGAGCTGCTCCTGGCTCAGGCCCTTGGCATCTCGGGTCAACACCTGGTTCTCCACCTCATTGATGGTGCGTGCAATGGAGGTGAGCAGCTGCTCCCAGCCCACACGGATGTGCTGGAGGGCAGAGAATAGGCCACAGTCAGTGGATGGCCAGCACCCGGCCACTAGCTCAAGCTTCGCTCCCAACCGATTGTGTGATGGTGGGCAAGTCCTCTCCCTTACTGGGCCTTTGTCCCCATCTAGGGGTTCCACTGAACACCCTCCAGCAGCCCTTTGGGCCTTCAAGTTTGATGATTTATTTTGCATCAGGTATTGACTAACCAGCCTGGGCATTTCTGGCCTGACTTTAGACTGCTTTGTGACTCTGGACACGTCACTTTCCATGATTGAATTTCAGTATCCCTATGGGTACATTGGGGAATCTGGCCAAGCTGAACTGGAGACCCTACTAGGACAGATGTGCTCTGTCCAGCAGTGGTGGCCCCAGGCTTCCCCAGCCAGTGCTGCTTGCGCTCTCTTCTGAGGGGGTGTGGTCCCACCTCCATGCTGTAGACAGTGTGCTTATTGTCGAACACCAGGCTCTCCTGCAGCAGCTGGTGGTCGCCCTCCAGCCGGTCAATGTTGCTCTTGTAGTTGATGATGTTCTGCTCCTGCTGCCGCAGCCCAGCCATCTGCTCCTCCAGAGAGCCAGCCAGCCCTGCTGCCAGCCGCCCCACCTCCTGTAGGGGTATCCAGGCAGGATGAGGCTTCCAACTCCCAGGCCTCACTCCCTCAGGCGGGCCCCACTAACCAAGCCCTTACCTCCACCTTTGCCTGGATCCAGGGTCCCACAGCATTAGCCTGGGCTGCAAACTGTCTCCGGAGCCTCTCGTTGACCTGCTGCCGTGCCAGCTCTTCCTGCAGTGTCTGATCACGACTGGGCACTAACTTTCGGACCTGGGAAGGAGGGTGGTTGTATCAGAGCCAGCTGTGTGGGCTGGGAGATGGCATTGAGGAGAGGTGAGACCCAGCCCCTCAAATCTCAGTATAACAGGTGGTTTTATACGTGCGAGATTTAATTCTATTTCACATCAGTCCTGACAGGAAAGCGCTGCTGTCATGGCCATTATACAGATAAGGCCAAGACAGGCCAGGTGATTGATCTGATACCATGTGGAGTCTGGCAGACCCCAGATCTGAAGACAGACTTTATTCTCCATATCTCGACACACCTGAGGTTTCAGCCCGGTTAGTGTGGAGGAGGGAGTTCAAGATAGGGAAAGAAAAAAGGAAAGACTGCAGGTAGCACTGACCGTGTCCCACTTGGAGTTGATGTCCTGGGGGCTGAGGGTGATGTAGGGGTTGGTGGAGCTGGGCCGCAGTCCATATGTTTGGCAGATCTTTTGGATCTCACCCTGGATGCCCAGTATGGCCCCTCGCTCCCGGTCAGCCTCAGGCAACGTTGCCTTGAACTGCTCATGTGCCGTCATCAGGCTCTGGAAGCAAAGTCAGGAAGCATCATCAGTGCCCTAGGCTAGCCAGTGTTCTGGGTGTGGCTAGCACGAGAACCCAGGTCTCTGTCTCCCATCCCAGTCCTTGGGACCTGGGGTTTTCCTCCCATTCCGTTTCCCCAAGAGCCCAGAGGAGTGGCTGACAGCTTTCTGGGCAACCCATCCAGCCTGTGCTTACCTGGGTCTCTTCCACTGAGTGCACCAGCCACACGTCCTGCAAGTCCTCCACAGCTCCATCCAGCCAGTTGTTGAAGGGTGCTGCTCGCCGGGCAAACTCCAGCTGCAGCTGGTCTATGGTCTCCAGGAGCTTCTCCATCCGCTAGGAGTTGCATGGAGAGTCGGTCAGTGGCCAACCTGGCAAGCCAGGCCTCATCTTACTGTCCCTCCCCACAGTTGCCTGCAGCCCCACCTCTAGTGCATCCCGCCTCTTCTGGGTCAGTGTGCCCAGGTTGTCCCACTGGTCACAGATGGCCTGGCAGCGGCTGTTCACTGAAGCCGCCTCATGGTAGTCCAGCTCACTGTGGAAGAGAAACAGGGCGACTGGGGACACAGACCCTGGGCCAGATTTCCTCCTGACTACCTCTCAGGGCTAGAAACCGCATTCAGGGTGGTGGTGAAGGCACAAGGGAGGTGGAGGATAGAGAGGCCTTTCCTACAGGGGGTCCTAGCTTGTTCTTGTGGAAAAGGAGGGCATCCTCGGGCCCTTAGTTCTAATCCCCTGAGATGCTTGGCTGGAGTAGGGAGCACCTGGAGTTTCAGGAAGGGATACAGGTGAAGGAGCAGGTTTATAGGTGATGGTGGCAAGATCAAGGCTAATGGGGAAGGTTTTGGGGTACTAAGGGGCAGAGTGAGCACGGGGTTTTGTGGGGTAGAGTGTGAGCAGCTGAGCCGGGTCTGGAGATGGAGATGGGGTGCGGGAGCAGCGGAGTGAGTTGTGATGGGGAAAGCCATGGGTACCACGCGAGGTCACCAAACTCGGAAGAACTAAGAGTCTGAAGGAGGGCTCTAAAGAATAGCGAGGGGCAGCTGTTGCCAGGGGCGGGTCGAGCAGCGGGCCACGCCTACTTAAGCTCCTGGGCTAGCGCCGCGATGTGCTCCACGCGATCCTGATGCGCCGCCAGGTCACTCTCAAAGGCCTCATGGCGCCGCAGCAACGCCCGCACCTCCTGTAGCGAAGCCGACTCGTAGTCGCGATGGCTAAGCATCTCCTCCTTCCCTGCTCGGAGAGAGGCCCGGCTCTGGTCACCCAGTGGCGGCCGCTGCAGGAGCACGCGGTTCAGGCTGGGTTGTGTGACCATGGAGCCCGTCCTACCCTAGTGCTTTGCTCTTAAATGCAAACGTGATAAAATTTAGAGAAGTTCCTGTTCCACTGCACGGCCAGTTAACGATGTCAGCGTTCCCTGACCCAGCATGTGGGCCTTGGTACAGTTTTGAAATGATTTTATTCAAGTTGGTTGAGTCCCTGGCATATTCACCGTTTCTCTAGTTCCTGGCAGTGGGCCTGCCACTAGATAGATTCTCAATGAATATTTATTGGATGAATGAATAACGACTTAAAAGTGCTCTGTGAAAGATCATTACCAAATTATGCAAATAAAAACGAACAATGATAAAAGCGGTAGCAACCATGTATTGAATACCTCTGCATTTCATAGAGGAGGTAACTCAGGTTTAGCAGCTTAGAGACCTCCCCAGGGTCATTTAAGTAAATTTGAGGAATTCTTATTATACGAAACGATTATTATTATTCATTATATCCATAACCCATTATTAGTGTTTGTTAATTATTTTTAGGCAGGACTCAGTCACTTGTAGGATTAAAATCTCTGACAGAATACAGAGTGAACGCTTTTATATACAGTGACATGTTTGTCTAATGCAATATTTTAGCATCAACATACTTTGAGTATCACATAAGTGATGTTAGGTTTAGAGATGAACTCACCTTGGGTGACCTGCTGTTATACAAGTACACCTGCTACAAATACAACCAACAGGCTAGAAGACAAATTAATCAAAGCAGACCTACAGAAGGCCAGAGCCAGGAGGGAGGGGGTACAGAGTTTACAGATAAGGAAAACCATGGTCTGAAAGAGCAGCCTAAAGAGAGACAAGGCTGCACCACAGCGAGTCAGAGCAGGGCTAGAAATGTGGTCTGCTTCCCTGCAGAGCAACTGCCCCTGTCCTGTGCATTTTACTAGAACCCCCACGCCTCTATTACTTTCTACCCCAGGAATGAGTCCAGCCCCCTGAGCTTTACCTACCCCGGGTCCAGGCTTCATGCAGGGAGGCCTTCTGCTGGAACTTC